GGTTATTCACTGGCGGGGATTGCCACAGGTATTGATGTGAAGAAGCATATGTGAGCAAAAGAGGCAAGGGTAAGAAGGGAGAAGTAAGCAAATATATCAAAAGGTTCCTGATGGCAGAAAGAGACAAAAGTAGTCCAATTAGATTCATCTTAATATTTGTGTGTTGACTAATGAAGGATATCTTTCATTTCTCTCTGATCTATCTTATGGCTTATTTCTTAACATTTATTTTATTTTCTCTTTTAAAATGTATACATATTTGCCTTTGCCCTGAATCAAGGACCTGGTTTTGCATTTCATCTGTTCCACTTTCTGGCTAGGTGATGTTGAGCAATGTATCTTTCAGACCTTAGTTTCCTCATCTGCTAAATGGATGTGACAGTAATATATGCCATTGATAGAATTATTGTATCTGACAGCATCCTGTAAATTGATAGCTATGCAAATTATTATTATTATCTCTCACACTTATTTTAATAAAGTGATCCTAAGTTATCTAGAGTTGCTGTAACAGAAATACCACAAGTGGATGGCTTTAACAAATAGAAATTTATTCTCTCACCGTCTAGGAGGCTAGAAGTCTGAATTTAGGGCTCCAGCTTCAGGGAAAGGCTTTCTCTCTCTGTCGGCTCTGGGGTAAGGTCCTTGTCATCAATCTTCCTCTGGTCTAGAGGCTTCTTAGTGCAAGGACCACAGGACCAAAGGATGCACTCTGCTTCCAGCACTTCTTTCTTGGTGGTATGAGGTCCCTCTACCCTCTGCTCGCTTCTTTCTTTTCTATCTCAAAAGAGATTGACTCAAAATATAACCTAATAATGTAGGTTGTGTCCTGCCTTATTAACATAACTGCCTCCAGTCTTGCCTCATTTACATCATGCAGTAAGGATTTACAACACATAGGATAATTACATCAGAGCACAAAATAGAGGACAACCACACAATACTGGGAATCATGGCCTAGCCAAGTGGACACACATTTTGGCGAGACACAGTTCAGTCCATTACAGATCCCTAGTTCCTTTTTTGAAGGTAATCATGATTCTCCAGTGCTTGGAATAAGTAAACTTCAGGAGAAGCAAATCTCAGTAGAATCTTAAGTGTTTCAATTAAAAATATGACATGTCTTAACATGGAAATTATGGATGTTACAGAATTTGAACTTTTAAACATTTGCAAATTACTACAATCTTATTGTCTATTTTACTCCATCAGCACTTAAACAGCACTTATAATTGTGTCAAATTTCTGTTTACTCATATTCACACATTAGTGAACAGATGTATTATAAATATTGGGATTTTGCCATTTCATCTTTTACATTTCTAATCATGATTTTCTATGGGATCTTTACTATTTTCGGAGAGATTAAATCATTGGTACATGTCCATCCATTACATTAATTAGTCTGAGATCATTTTTTGCTAATTGTTCATGAATTATCAATGGGAACAAATTGAATTGGTAGCAGTTGGTAGAATACTATATGTGAATTTGCTCAAAGTTCTTTGTTTTCCAGAAATTCAGGTAGAGAGGTGAAGTGATATGCTTAAGGTCCCTGAGGTATAACACCAGTGGCAAAGTCTGGAGATCCCAGGTTGTTTAATTTATGGCCCAACAGTTCTTCCATGATATATTAAAAAAAAAAAAAAAAAAAAAAGGGGACCCATGTTATTATGTATCTTTGCTATGTGAGTATTGTATATTGTTGCCTATAGATCATAGGTTTTCTTTAAACTGTCCAGAATTTTAAAGAGGAAAGTCATGTAGTGGAACTATATCCTGAGCATAATGATAATTTAAAGAAATACTGACTTTTAATCCTACCATGGCTGCTCATAAGTGTCTGTTACCCTGGAAAATTCCATTCATCCTTCAAGTTTTTACTTCTTCCTCCAGTGGAGTTAATAGCAATAGTTTTTCCTACTATACAGGATTGTTTTGCAAATGAAGTGAGGTAAAGTGGGTGTACTGGAAAGAGCAAAGTCTTTAGGACCCATTAGGTTGAACTTAGCTCTATGTTGGGAAAGTAAAGATATTCCCCTAAGCTTTGATTTCTTAAACTATTAAACAGACGTAAAAACCAGTCTGTCAGATCACTTCTGACTGATGGCAACCCCATGTGTGCCAGAGTAGAACCGTGCTCCATAGAGTTTTCAATGGCTGATTTTTTGGAAGTAGATCCTCAGGCCTTTCTTCTGAAGCACCTCTGGGTGGACTCAAACCTCCAAACTTTCAATTAGCTGCTGAGCAAGTTAACCACCACCCAGGGACTTCAACACAGATGTACCAGTATCTAATCCAGAAGATTATTATGAGAAGTTTGACATACCGCATGCAGTGACCTGGTATACTACTTAGCACTTAGCCCTCAAACTAGTACCTATCATTATCATTTCATTGTCCACAACAGCATTAGTAATTTGTAGGAAGAAAAACTTGGTTCAAACCTTAACTCTGCCTATTACAGTTTGTGAAACATCACATAATCCCTTTTCTTCTTTTTGTTTGTTTTTAAAACTATACAAAAAAATAATAATAACCTAACCCAAGTCTTCAGGTTTGCTATGATTAAATGAGAGAACACAGGTAAAAGCATCTAGCATAGTTCCTTGCATCTAGGCTACTCAGTAAATGTTTACTGAGTCTAAATTTAAAGTATCTGCTTCATCCAAATTGCAAGTATTAATGTCTTTATTTGTCCATAGACAAGACAACCCTGAGTTAGATGTGTTTCTGATTTTACATTTTCCAAATAACTTGGACTTAAAGAAGTTATTCATTTTTCAGTAGTGAATGTTGAAAGTCCGGTACTTGAAAAAAATGGCTCTGTAGTTGAGCCTTCTATCTTTATGCTAGTAATAAAGAGGCCAGGAATGTTCTACAGGTTTCAGAAATCTGGCTGATGTTTCTTTAACTCTGCAACTTAGACAGAAGACTTCTGTTTCTTTATGAGCACACTACAGTGAATATTTTGTCTAGCTGCAGGGGAAAAGCTTTGTCATGGACTTTGCAGACAATAGCCTTAAAGGTAAAATGGTCTGCTTTTGGTGCTGGAAGGTTCAGGAGCCTATTGTTAGTGCACAATGGATTTCTACTGCTGCATTCCTGCTTTGCAAAGGTTTGTTAGCTTTTAATGACTGACAGTACTCTATTGCAGATACCACATTGGCTGTGCCCTGTTTACATGCTACTCAAGAACTTTTGTAGATTGCTGGAAGAAAAGAAACAGTGGTGTTTATTTGACCTACTCTGATAAGGTTTAAAAAATTATTTCTTTCACAAAGTGTTTACTTGGAATGTAGAAACGTTGGAAATCCTGACAGAAGGTTTTAAAATTTATTTTTGAAGCCTCAATAAACAGACTTATTGATCACAATGAGAAGATATAATGTTTTATTGCTCATAGAATTGCCTTTATTTTCAGAACATTATGGTATAAAATAGGGCTATTTAAAAAATAAAAGAATATTTAGTAATTTTTTTTCTGAAGTGTGAAGATAGAAACATATATTTTGTTATAAAGGAAGAAAACAGTTCACACGTTCCATAGGTGAATCTGCACATAGTAGTAGTGGTACGTGGATCTATATTTTCACCTATACGTATGGGCTGTGTAAAGCAGTGGTCAGTCAGAGCTTTTCATCATTTTATTTTCCACCGTTTTTTGACGTCTGAGAGAGAAGTGTTCTACACTGTTGCAGTTTTTCCAAGGAAAACTGCACCTCAGCTTTTTTGAAAATTCCACACAGGCTTGGTGACTGGTAGCTTATGGCTGTAAGATGGGGCCTGAAAAAAAGTAGATAGCATTAGTCAAAGACGGTGACAAAGGCCCCCCTAATGCATTTTACTGTGGGGAAAATTAACCAGTTTCTAATAATCTTATGGTCTCTAGGCCAGACGGTCCCTTTGATAAGTTAACACGTACTCCCTTTATGCTCCTAGTAGGGGGTGAACAAATGCCTGCACAAACACAAATGCACATAAACACCAATGTGGAGAATGGCAGTGTATGTCTTAGATCTAGATACTAAATGTGGGTATTGTTACTTAGATGGCACATACTGGGACACTTATCTTTTAGTACACTCCATTTTCTATCTGAATGCAGTGCTAATGGTGGGATTCAAAGCCACTGTAATTGTGTACCCATCTAAACGCTGACAAGAATATACAATTACATTGTTTGGAACTGAGTTTAATGTTTGGGAGTTTCATTAACGGTTATGTTTTCTTATGCATTAAAATTCAGCATAAAGGGAGAGGTCAAAAACCATGTGATATATAGACAAAAATATCAGACCAAAGCATAACATTGCTGTCTAAAATGTGTGTGCCCCTTCCCAGTATATTTTAAAGAGTGTGATACAAATCCAAAATAAGTAAATAATAGGTTTGCATTGTAGGCATTACCTACTTCTCTAGATTTTGCAATCTTTTTAAAGCTTCTTTTATATCAACTTTTTTTTTTTTTTAAATGTTTGAGGTACTGGCAAATCTTTCTACAGTGTGCTTGTATGGTTACCATCACACAATGTTAAACACATAAAGTGGATGTAATTGTAAACACACAGAGGGATATAATTACATGTAGCAGATTTAAGAGCTAATTCTTTGCCTTCTTTTGCTCTGCGTTTTATCAACATAATTATTTTTTGACTGCAGACTAACACCCTGAAATTGACAAGCATCCATTATAGCAGGAACTTATTCACCAAATTGAAAAACAATGAACTGCAGGTTTATATGTACCCATTGTCGTAAAGAATTAGTATGGCTTTGTTCTGCAAGAGGAAAAAGCTAATGATTTTGAAACAGCAGGTGACAAAACACATTCTTTTTTTCCTCCCCTCTTATCAATTTGTTGATGAAGTCATTATGGACTGGGGCCCAGATAGGGATGGCCTTTTTTTTAGCAGATAGACTTTTAATGAGCTCTATTGTAAAGATAGTCATGTTGATTTGCTTACTTTTTTTTTTTTTTTTTTTCCTTCTTTACTTAGAAACCCCCAGTATTGAAAAGCTACTCTCAAAGGACTGGAAAGACAAGCTTCTTGCAATGGGATCAGGGAACTTCGGTGAAATAAAAGGTAACATGCATGTGATGATTTTGATTCAAAATGAGCTTGATATTTAGAAATATGAATGGTGATAGAGTGTTTCTGCTTCGCCCCTCCCTTTCCATCTCATGCATTTTCTGTCTCTGGTTCTTCTTTCTAGCTTGAAAGAGGGTATATCAGTGTTCTTACTTTCTCTGTGTACCTCATTGGATAAATGGTGTGTTGTCGTAACAGAATAACCCCATTATATTTTTAATACACTTTGGTTTTCGTAATTTATTTTTCATTTAAATGGTTTATCCTATAAGTAGGAATGTGCCTTTAGCAAGTTTAAAAACTGCGTCTAGTGAGATGGTTTTATACATTCTACATATTGGAAGTAAGCATGTACATACTGTGCAGTTAAACACCAGAAACGATGAATAAGGATGGCATAATAACATGTTGTTTTATACCTACAAGTGTAAGATTTTTGGTTTGGTTTTTTTTGAATCTGCAATTACATACAACTAAGAGAAAAATTATATATGCACTTCAGAAGATACTGAATATTCACATTTTAATAAACTTCTTACTGTTAACAAGGGGAGATTTAATTTTCCCATGTAAAAATAGAATCAAAAGGAACCTTTCAATTAATTTAAAAGCATGTTTTCTCAGGTCATAGTAGACTATAGATTTCTGTTAGGGCACTTATGACTATGAGTTTTAAAGTAGGATTAATTCTGAGGAAAAAAAAAGAATAACATCAAGATACTTCTCAATATTGAAGCATTAGTTATATATTACTGTGTATATTTTGATGGAAATTGAATGTGTATTTAACCTTACTAGATTTATATCTATATGCACGTAGAAGTATAACTGTGTACACGTGCATGTGTTCTCCCAGTGAGAGAAGTAATTGTCTAAGTCTCTGCTACCTCAAAGCATCCTGGAGAAAGGCAAAAAGTAGAGTCGGTCTTCTCAGGTGTTTGGCCTACATGACACCTAATGTCTGGATATTTGGAAACGTCCAGAAAATGTTTGACTAAATATTTCTCTTAACATTCAGAACCTTGGAGTTACATATAGTAGGCTATGATTAGGTGTGAATGGGAGGTAGGAGAATGAACGGGTGCTAATCAAGAAATTTGGTAACCAAAATCTCCAATGAAATCTCATCAAATGCAAATGTATAATAATTGCTGTGCCTTAAAAGGCTTGGAAACCCATAGTGGTTAAGAGCTATGGCTGCTAACCAAAAGGTCAGCAGTTCAAATCCACCAAGCACTACTTGGAAATCCTATGGGGCAGTTCTACTCTGTCCTGTAGGGTTTCTATGAGTTGGAATCAACCTAACAGCAATGGGTTTTTGGGTTTAAAGGAGCTTAAAGACAAAGTTTAAGGAGAACTGAGAAGTTTCATTTTCTGAAGCAGCACACCCTTTAATATTATTTTGATTGATTTTAACCCATTTGCACTTGAGGTATAGAATTGCATTTTCCAAGGTTCTTTATTCTCTTCTGACCTAGGTAATAACAGAGTAAAAGCAGAGACCACCTTTTCCAAGCTTTTTGATCTCATTTCATTGTAGGACATTTTTTCCCTCCCTCGTTTTTCTTCACAAGTCAAACTTAAAAGCAGCAAAGGCAGTGATGATAAGCTTAGAGCAAAGAGGCTCAGCTGTCCTTTCAGGCTTGCCTGGGGGTTAGTTTAGGAAGCTGCAGTACAGTCACAAAAGAAGTTTCTGTCTTTAATTTTGAGTTTTTTAAGCTTCACATTCAGAGCACAAGTTTGGGTATTGTTCTCTGATTCTGTTCAAAAAGCTGTTTTCTGATGCATTTTAAAAGCAACTGTAGGTCTTTCTTCTGTTGGGGGCATGGTTATTAGGTGTTCGGATCAGGTTTGGCAGTAAACTGGGAAAATACGAGCTGGGTTATTTTTCCTACTGACTGCCCGTGACAGTTGCAATTACTATCCATTGTTCATAGGTGGCTAGAAAGTGGAGAGGATACAATAGTGTGTTGCCCTCTGGGGGTAAATGAATTTGACTTAAAGGTTCTTGGGGGGTCAGGCACAGCGATTATGTAGTGCCCAGGAATGTGGTTTTCTTGCCATCCCAGAGGACGTTAGACGTGAACAATGGCTGAGCTGTTCGGCAGCTATTTTTAATGAGGCAAATCAAGGTGTAAGTCTCATGGACACGTATACTGTTTTCGGTCAGAGGAGGGAAGGATAAATGTGAGTTTTTTTAAATCTTAAAATCCTAACTTATTCAACTTTGAATAATAGTAATTTATATAATATGTTTGAATAGATCCTTTTCATATATTAGGATGCTTGCAGCCTTTATTGTTTTTACAGAGTCTTCTTGTGGATTGAAACTTTTTTTAAAATTCTGTTTAAACATTTGAACTGGCCAGTTTTCATGTAACTTTTAATTAGTTCCAAGAAATGTTTGTGTGTGTGTGTGTGTTTACATGTATGTGTGCACGTGCACGCATGCGCATCCCTTTCATAAATATTTAAGATTGTAGCCAAGTTAAAACTGATCATTTCCTAAGTACTAAGTTGTTACCAGTAAGTTGATTTCAAGATATTTGGACGAATATTAAAAATTACAGGTTGGTAAAGTTTAAAAACATATTTCTTACTAATGCTTGCTTAAAAAGTAAAAATGATAAACTTTTTAAAATGGGAGAAATAAATAGCATTTGATTTACACAGTTTAACTATCAATAAAGTGCTGTCATACCCACTTAAAATCAATCTCATTTTTCAAGAAACAACATGAGTTAGTAAAGGTCACCGACTTCTAAAAGCATATTTTTGTTTTTCATGTTGGATTATTTTCCCTCTTAGAGTTTATACCATTTTATGCTCTGGTACTTTGGAAATATGAAATAATTAGGTTTTGAAGTTGAACTGGAAACAACATCTGATGAACACACAAAAAGAACACTTGATCCAGTTTTGCAGAAGAAAACAGTTTGACTAAAAGGCTCTGCCAACAGCAGTCAATATATGTTATAAACTGATTTGCTGTCTCTCCTTTCCTAATCAGCCATAGGGTGTAACTGGCCAGTTTACAGTTTTTTTGCTTTTAACTATAGCAGAAGCACTGAGTAACAGTTGTATGAAAGGTAAAGACCTAGATTTTATAGTCCCATAGTTACTGAGAAGGAACAACAACAGTACTTGTGCCCTGGTTGGTGACCAAGAGTGTTATACATTTTTTCAGCTAGCATGAAATTGCACTACACTGAAGGTCAGGTTAGTAGATTGGCACTTTACCTGAGGACAGTATCTGGGGAACCATGGTGGCTTTGACTAATCTAAACAGATCATTTGTTTTTCAACAAAGTAATCACAAAATTTGTATTTTGCTGACTTAATATTTGTTTGTAGAATTATAACACAAATAACTGCATGTAAAATGCTCTCATAAATATTTCTATCTTGATAAGGTTGTAAAAGTAGGGCATTGCTTGGGAGGTTTTCTGGCCAGATCACTCAGAAAAGTCTAGACCAGTCTTTCCACCTGTGTTTTGTGAAGAGTTCCTTAGAGCCTGGACTGTGTGCCATTGATACCCCTGATGGACTCTCCTCGTCCTGGTCAGAATGCATCACTTCTTACAGAACTAATTCAGGCCTGCAAAAGTGCTGTATCTGATGTTATAGAAAAATACCAGCTACATTTGGTATAATAAAAAATTGACTCTTTTTGAAGGCTATAATCTTGTTCTTTCTAGAAGATGGGGCAGAAGATCAAATACCAAACACCTCTAGAACTGTCAATAGTCAATTTAAAGATATAATCCATTCAGCAATACTATAACCTTTGAGAGCTCATGAATTAAAGACATATGCTATGTAGATTCGATGTGTAGATTAAAATGGATAATCTCTTAGGTGACATGTACAATTTTGAGATAAAAGGGGTGTGTAGATTCAGTGTGTGGCATAAAATGATCTTTTTTTTTAAGATGACATTAGACAATTTGAAAAGAATAGTAATCAGATTCTAAGTAGTAAATCTAGTGAGGGAACCTTGGCAAATTTAAACCATGGAACCTCAATTTCAGCATTTAGATATGTGATGAGTTATATCGTTAAAATGAGTTAAAAGTTGTTTTAAACCCACTCTTTTAAAAATCCAACCTTGTGACGATTTCATTTGCACATTAACCTAAAAACATACATGTGTGCACACTTTTACAAAGGGGATGGAAATTTTTGATTATTTCCTGAGGAAACTGTTGGATCTTGAATTTGTTCAATACAAGAATCAGTAATAAAGAGGGTACAAAACATATAGTCATTTACTTCAAATTAAAGTAAATATTTAATGTTTTTAATCTACTAAGCTTGTTCTACTGCTACTCTGTAGTTGCTGATGAGTAATTTTTTACTTTTGTAAAAACTACATCATATTTATTCAATCTGTATGCTAAGCAAATAATCGAAGAAGCTGGACTATATGAAAAAGAGCATGGCATCAGGATTAGAGGAAGATTCATTAACAACCTGTGATGTGCAGATGACACAACCTTGCTTGTGGAAAGCAAAAACGACTTGCAGCACTTACTGATGAAGATCAAAGACTTCAGCCTTCAGTATGGATTCCATCTCAACATAAAGAAAACAAAAATGCTCACAACTGGATCAATAAGCAACATCACGATAAACGGAGAAAATGTCGAAGTTGTAAAGGACTTCATTTTACTTGAATCCATAATCAACGCCCATGGCAACAGCAGTCAAGAAATCCAACAGTTTATTGCATTGGGCAGATCTGCTCCGGGAGACCTCTTTAAAGAGTTAAAAAGCAAATATGTCAGTTCGAGGACTAAAATACGCATGACCCAAGCCATGGTATTTTCAGCTGCCTCATATGCATGTGAAAGCTGGGAAATGAACAAGGAAGAGCAGAGAAGAATTGATGCCTTTGAATTATGGTTTGGCAAAGAATATTGCATATACCATGGACTGCCAGAATAAGGAACAAGCCTGTCTTGGAAGAGGTACAGCCAGAATGCTCCTTAGAA